ATGTGGTTAGGTGTAAATCAAGTTCTGCTCAGTGACCAAGTGAGTTTGTGGACTGTGAGGAGAGGAAATGCGCGCATGCTGTTATATAGTGTACTTGTGCGCAGACACATACACACACGCGCACGCACGCACACACATACACACACGCGCGCACGCGCACACACATACACACACGCGCGCGCACGCACACACACATACACACACGCGCGCGCACGCGCACACACATACACACGCGCGCGCACGCGCACACACATACACACACGCGCACACACATACACACACACGCGCGCGCACACACATACACACACACACATACACACACGCGCGCGCGCACACACACATACACACACGCGCGCACGCGCACACACATACACACACGCGCGCGCGCACACACATACACACACACACATACACACACGCGCGCACACGCACGCACACACATACACACACGCGCGCACACACACATACACACACACACATACACACACACGCGCACGCACGCACACACGCGCGCGCACGCACACACATACACACACGCGCGCACGCACACACATACACACACGCGCGCGCACACACACATACACACACGCGCGCGCGCACGCACGCACACACATACACACACACGCGCGCGCACACACACACACACACGCGCGCACGCACGCACACACATACACACACACGCGCGCACGCACACACACATACACACACGCGCGCGCACGCGCACACACATGCATACACGCGCGCGCACGCACACACACGCGCGCGCACGCGGTGCGCGCGTGCGTGTGGTTGGGTGTGTGTTCGTGCGTTCATGCGTAGGGGTGTTGTTTGTGTGTGTAACCCCACTCCCTACTCTCTCTCTGCCGCCCCTCTCTCTTTATAAATAAATAAATAAATAAATATGCGTGCGCGTGAGCGCGCGTGTGTGTATTGTGTATGCGTGTGCGCGCGCGTGTGTGTATGTGTGTGCGCGTGCGCGCGCGTGTGTGTATGTGTGTGCGCGTGTGCGCGCGTGTGTGTATGTGTGTGACATCATGCGTCCATGCATCCATTTGTTCCCCTGCCTGCAGAAAAAGCATCGATAGAATCACTACGAACCAGGAGAGAGAATGTCAGATGTGGGGCACTGGGCTGGTGACCAGCGATGTAGAATTAATGCATTCCGCGAAGTAACGACCAAAACACACAGAGATGCGGAGAGCTGTGGCTTGTAAAAGGCATTTCCAGCGAGTGTATAATTACCGCAGTGTTCGGTGTGCGAAAACTCGACTGCGGCGCCCCCTGGCGTGTTGTATGTTACTCACGCGACTCGCGCCTCATCAAATATAGAGAGGATTTTATTTTTTGTTGAATTTATGTGTTGTGAAGAAAT